CGACCCCCGCTGACATTAGGCAAGCGGCGGGGTACACCCCTGGACAGATCGCCAGGCTATCACAGGGCTGACATGTAGGCAAACAACCGCACACACTCACATTCACTCCTACTGGCAATTTAGAGTCACCAGTCAACCTAAGCTGCATGTCTGTGGACTGTGAGAAGAAGCTGTAGTACCCGGAGAGAACCCACGCAGACACAGAGAGACCATGCAAACTCTGCACAGAAAGGCCCTGTCGGCCTGGGCTCGAACCCGGAACCTTCTTGCTGTGAGGCAACAGCCACAAACAGTAGAATGTGTCTAATAGGGGAGGCAACAGTGGTGCGGTGGGTAGAACAGTCGTCTCCCAAACAAAAGGTTGAAGGGTTGAGTTGGCGCCGCAGATGGCTGCCATCAGTTCTGTACCGGATACTAATTCCTTGTGTGTAACATACTTGGCCAATAAAGGTGATTATCCTTATTATCCTAATAGGTCTAATTAAGGTTGATCATATCTGCACTCTCCTCCCTTCCTTCTCCTCCATCCTGGGGATTGACATCAAATAAAAGGAAGCAGTTTGATGAAAACATGTACAACAACTATGTATCAAGCTTGGGCTTGTGTTCCATCTTATTAATGTGGACAATCAGGAGCTGCTGGTAGTTTCGTTGGAGAGGTGATACCGTACAATAATATATTCTTCTCACAATGGCACCTGTAGCATACAGTTTTTATTCAGCATGGCAGAAACTGATGGGTTTTTTTCTTCTAACCATCTGTTTCCTTTCACTTCATTATGAATGCAGGAAAGTGAACTAAAGTAAAGCCGCAGATTGGAACATTCTGGTCAGTGTTGGCAGATGAGATATTTAAAGGTCATGTCTCTTTCTAACTCTTTGAGTGACTTATGTGGCTAGTTGTTATTGAGCATAGCTCTACAGGCAAGTGCCATGCTATAGTCAGCCCTGTTTCTACAGAGACTAAGCACCATGGATGATGATGATGATGATGATGACAGGATGGCCTTTTGTGGTTTTATGCAGCATACTTGAGTCAGAACACTTGTAAGAGGAAATGAGTTTTGCATCAGTTCAAAATGGAAGTACTGCACTTAGGTCATTTCCACAAAAAAAACAAACAGTTATTGTCAACCTTTCTGTTATTCTGAAACAAAGCCTGACCAGCTAATGTCCCAGAAAAGACACTTGTGTCGAAACTGGTCTACCTGTGCAGGTGCAGCCTTTATTGTTCTCAACAGTATAGCATGTACCTCTTTCAGTGCGTCCACTACTCCCCTTCTCTTTCATGCATGGGTGAAGGCAACGGTGATATAGGAAGTAATTGTAGGAAGCGCTACTACCATCTCAGGTGGCTGTATAATGCCAGTATACTCTTATAGATGTAAAGAGGCAGGGATGATGGTGTAGCCATGCATCTGGGTGGTAAGGTACAGTAAGTGTGCTGGTATACAGAACATGCAGGTGTTAGGTTATTTCCTAGTTAGATAGATATTCAGAGATTTGTTGTCTAGAAATGTTTAGTGCAGACAGATTGACTAGCTCAGGCTGTTAACTGTTCAGCCTGCAGTGCAGACTGCAGGCACGTCAAGGTTACAGGAAAAGAGCTGTTAGGGTCAACTGTAATGCTAGTCTTAATATTTGTCTTAATGTGTAAGGTTATGTCCAATTGTTTTAGATACACACCACGAAAACAACAGTCACGCCCCTTGACTTTTCCTCATGTTTTGGCTAACGTTAGAGTCGGCTGCAAAGCTGGCTTATCAGGTGATGTCACGGTTTTGACGCCCCTTGTAGCATGGGCTAGCCCAAAAATGATTAAGATTATATATTGGCTTTTTGGTCCAGGCTTCTTGAGCCTTTCTGCTGCCTGCGCGCAGGTAGAGGGGTGAGAAAGGTCTGGACGTGTAATGTGAATTTTACCTGTGATCCTCTGAATAAACCAGTACGGTTATTTTTTATAAAATCTAAAGCGGTCTACTTCGTCTCATTGAGAGTTCCTGGTTTGAAAGAACCGGAAGAAGCTTCAGAGAAATAATAGCTTATACAGGTTTATTTGAAAACCATTCAGGGGACATTATGACCCAAACGGTCTGATACTGAAATGAAAGTAGTCATGCTCTGATACTAATAATGTACATAAATGAATGATTTCACTGTAATAGCTCTCATTAACTATGCCTTTTTATGGTTACCAACAAAGATGTATGTTGCATGCCATCTCTGTCATCTTGGCTTGTGATCTGTGTAGCATGCTCAACCACAATGAGAGGTAGTTTGCAGGATGTTATCATCACACCCAGACTTATTCATTCATAGTGTTATTTTCTATCCTGTATTATAATTTTGTTGACTGACAATGGACATTTTAAATGAGTGTCTCTTTTACTGTAAGTTATAATTCATAAGATCTGACAACACCCATTGTTGTTATTAAGGCAACAACAAATGAAGGCAGTTTGAATTAATCACAGACTATGCCACTAACAATGAAAACTAATGTATAGAAAAGTAACTGAATGCAAGTACACTACATGGCTTTTGCAGACCATATATAGTTTCAAAATTTAGTTTGAACCCATGAAGGATTATAACTTTAATGTAATTGTTTTTAACTTTATATGTTGAAATATGTGAACGGTAATGCCACTTTTAATGATTAAAAATTTATAGTGGGAACCTTATTTGAAAAGCTGTGACTATCCCATTTTTGGCATCTTACTTTAAAAAAAAAAAACTTAAAAGATAAGTCGTATATAAAAATGGTTGCATCATCGAATCATTTCAGCTATAGTAAAACCTACAGTTGCACTGTTAGATGAGACCATTACACAATTTTCTTTTGTTCCACAATTGAGAAACACTGATGTAGGACAAAGGGACTGCCTCTGTCAGCCTGATATCCATGAATGACTGTGATTGGCTGCTGCTGCTGCTGCTGCTGTAAGTGTGACCCCTGTGGCCAAGAGTAACCTCCAGCTTCTCCAGGTCATTAGCAGAAGATTACTCACAGACACAAGCATTCACACACACACATGTACAGTGTATTGCTTGTACAGGGGGGGATACACAGTGAGCTTGTAAAGCTACTCACCCTTGACTAATGTATGCAGTAATAAACAAACACTCTCAGCCTTTGCATGTGTAGTGACATTATCATTTAGTTTTATGTGCGCGTGTGTGTGCATATTTTAGCCTCTCTGTTAGATTTTATGACTGAAAAGGTCAATGAAGGTGAGCAAATGAGTCGCAAGGGCTATTTCTGTGGTTCTGCAGTTCCCCTAATGGCCACTTGAGGCTGGCTCCAAAGGGGAGTCAATCCCCATGTCAAAATGCCTAACTTTACAGCTGAATTAAACATCTTTTTAGCCTGATATAAAAAATGGTTTTGGTTTCTTTGGCAAATTTTCCCTTCCATGACAACTGTAAGGGGGATGATTTGTTTTTTCTGGGGTGAGTTTTTTTTGTTTTGTTTTGTTTTTTAATAAATAACTTGCCCATTAAACTTATATTGTGACTAAAAGTTACACATAATTAAGGGTGTGGCAGCTTTAAGTGACAGACGAGAGGGTCACCCCATAGGTGGCTGGCCGCTAGCTGTCTAACAAGCTCCACTCATGCTCTGCCTCTCTGCCCATTTTTATATTAAACGTACTAGGCAAGAGTGAACCACTATCAATATGATAACGGCCAGACATGAGCTTCAAAACCTCTCTTCAGAAAATTAATCGGTGACATCATGGTGGGTTTGTCCAGCTTTTATATATAGTCACTGATCCCCACAGTAATATTTACAGTGATCAAACCTTGACTTTCCTCCTCTTCGTTCTTTTCATCCTCCTATTTTTGATGGATTTGTTTTTAAAACTGCCTATGGACTGGAGAAAGAAATCCTTTAAAAAGGAAATAGAGGTAGGCTGAAGAACACCACAGTGAGAGGAGATAAAGAATAGCATGGGAACCTATAATGTGTTCTTACTTAAATGGAGGAAATGTCAATTTCTGGGGTTGCTTTTAAATAGATAAATGTATATGATGCTTTCATTAGTCACTGTTGTTAAGGCTATATTTTAGGGATGCACCGAT